CTGGAATAAGATAGGATGTGAGGCTACGTCTTCACTACGGGGGGGGGGTCGATTTAAGATACGCAAATTCAGCTACGCAAATAGCGTAGCTGAATTCGACGTATCGCAGCCGACTTACCCCGCTGTAGGGACGGCGGCAAAATCGACCTCTGCGGCTTCCCATCGACGGCGCTTACTCCCACCTTCGCTGGTGGAGTAAGAGCGTCGATTTGGGGATCGATTGTCGCGTCCCAACGGGACGTGATAAATCGATCCCCGAGAGGTCGATTTCCTGAGTTAGCTGGCTATCCCCAGCTAAAATCTCTCCAACGCATCATCAGTGATCTACAACCCATCCTGGACAACGATCCCTCACTTTCACAGGCCTTGGGTGGCAGGCCAGTCCTCGCCCACAGACAAACCGCCAACCTGAAGCATATTCTCACCAGTAACTACACACCGCACCATAGTAACTCTAACTCAGGAACCAATCCATGCAACAAACCTCGATGCCAACTCTGCCCACATATCTACACCAGCGACACCATCACAGGACCTAACCAGATCAGCCACACCATCACCGGTTCATTCACCTGCACGTCCACCAATGTAATATACGCCATCATATGCCAACAATGCCCCTCTGCTATGTACATCGGCCAAACTGGACAGTCCCTACGTAAAAGGATAAATGGACACAAATCAGATATTAGGAATGGCAATATACAAAAACCTGTAGGAGGACACTTCAATCTCCCTGGACACACAATAGCAGATTTAAAGGTAGCCATCCTGCAGCAAAAAAACTTCAGGACCAGACTTCAAAGAGAAACTGCTGAGCTTCAGTTCATCTGCAAATTTGACACCATCAGCTCAGGATTAAACAAAGACTGTGAATGGCTAGCCAACTACAAAAGCAGTTTCTCCTCCCTTGGTGTTCACACCTCAACTGCTAGAAGAGGGCCTCATCCCCCCTGATTGAACTAACCTCGTTATTTCTAGCCTGACTCACTCTTGCTTGCATACTTATACCTGCCTCTGGAAATTTCCACTACATGCATCCGACGAAGTGGGTATTCACCCACGAAAGCTCATGCTCCAATATGTCTGTTAGTCTATAAGGTGCCACAGGACTCTTTGCTGCTCATACTTAAGGGTGTGATTTTCAATAGCACTAAGCATTAAACTAATTGCTCCCACTAAAGTCAATAGTAAAACTGTCATTGTTTCAGTAAAGCCAATGTTAAGCTAATGTTGAGTGTTTCTGAAAATCAGCCCCTGAGCACTTTGCTGGGTAGAAGCCTTACATCAGCTCAGGATCTGGTCCATTATTTCAGGAAAGCGATTTCCCCAAGCTCACAAATTTCAGGTATTTCCATAAATAAATAACCAGATGATGCAAAAGTGTGATTGGAAATCACCTCGGGTCTTTGCAAAAGAGAGTGAATTCCAGCAATCACCCTCCTTATCTGAGAAATAACAAAGGCATCAAAAATACAATGCAGCCCAAGAATGGCATTTAAGATATTACTGTTCATCATTTTTCATTTTAAAATCAACGGTGTGGTAATATTTCATCTTGGCAAAATCCTATATTATTATTAAAGACCCAAACTGAGCTCCAAAATAGACTTCTAAGAATACCCAAATATTTCTTTAAAAAGAAGGACAACTCACCTGAAATTATCTACTAGCACGAGAGCTCTCATGCATCTCTGTTTTACTAGCAATTAAATAGATGCCCAATCATTCATATCTATCCATTTGTGTAAATTTACATGCTCAAAACACAGGTAATCTTGATGGTAAAATCCAAGGGCCAAATTCCCTGCTGGAAAGACTCCATGGAGTTATGTCAGCAAAGTATTCGGCCCCTAGTATCATGATATTAAAATAGTTATAAGAAAGTTAGCTGAGTCTACATCCAGAGGATGAAAAGAGAGAACATGTGTTACTGCGTATTGCACTAATAAATTATATTTGATATCTTCTTTCACCAACAAATGGCTCAATCAGGTATTTAATAATACAAAAAGGTTTGGGTGTATTTTAAATAATATCTTGTACTCTCCCTCTTCTCATTACAAAATAGCTTCTATTTATTGTCTGAAGTCTAAACAAGCTTCAGCTCACTTTCTGATTTCTTAAAACATCACAGAATTACCACACATAACTCAGCAAAATTGGTAGGCTCTGCTTTGAAGAGGTTCAGGATTGAAGACAAGATGGAAACTGAAAGGCATCCTGTGGAGATGACTGTCCCTCCAGGTTAGTCTTCAAATTACTGGCAAAAGAGAGAGAGCTCTTTTGTGGTTAGTTTTTTTTTTTTTTTTTGCTTAGCTATCACTGCCTTATGTGATCTGTAAATCATGGAGCTCAGCTTGCAGTTAAACCACGGCTTTCCCCAGCAGAAACATTTTCACAGAGAACACCCTAATTGTAAAAGATCTTAACAGAACTTTTCTGCTTGTTTGGGTTTACCCTTCCAGGATGACAAATAAAATACAAAACAGAAATGCTACAGGTTTTCAGAAGCCTCAGACCTCTTAAACTACTCAATAAAGGCCAGATGTTACCATCTTTCCTCACACTAAGTATTATCTTACTTTGCAAGTAGCTCCACTGATTTTAATGACACTAAGACTGGAATTAGGCACTACTCAGCATGAGTAAGATTTGCAGAATCTGGCTCTAATTGTACAAGGTGTGTTCTTAAAATGTGTGCAGCCTAACCACAGTATTATGCCTAACTTTTAAGCTCTATGTGGCTGTTGGTTATCATAGCTGATAACATGCATGACCATACATACTTAAGCTAGGTCATTTATTTTGATTTTAGTGTCATGGTGCAAGTGTTTACAATCTACTGGGTTGAAAAATTTCACTACACTTAAATGACTATGCTTGATTTTTAGCAGTCTTCTTAATTTTTCAAATATATTTAACATGTAATTGCCAACATCTGTTCAGGATAATCATCAACAGGATCTACCATGCACGGTTTTTGCGATCTTCTCTACCTTGCCATGCAGGTTGTATATTTTAAACACTGAGGCTGAATGAGACCTGTCCATAGATAACACTTGGCAAGAATGTATTTTCATGGAGCTAGCTCTGAAATGGGCTCATCTCTGAATAAATCACTAATTTGAAACTATTATTAATCACAGTAAGTAATAACAGCTAAAAATGGGATCAAATAGTTTGATTAAAACAACGCTATGGAAAAGGGGTTAATTCACTAATGGAACTGTGTCAAAACACTGACTCTCTTTGGGATTGTTTCATTGAAAATGTGAAATATCAATTGGGAGAGATCCTGTCTCTACTGAAGTAAATGCCAAAATTCCCACTGACTTCATCAGGGCCAGAATTTCAGCCAGGGTTGCTATTCAATATAAACAAGACAGCACCAGAAGAATTAAGGCACCTATGTTTCCAGCCATAAAACGAGTTCAATTTTTAGCACAAACTTTGACTTGTCTGCAGAGGCTCTTGGAAGTTCTAATAAATATTTTTGAGGTCATCATTTATTCTTTCATTTTTAATATAAAAATCTGAAGATGTTAATTGAACTTCATTGCCATTTTCATATGGTTCATGAATGAGTACTTTATGGATATGATTAATGATACACTGTATACAAAAGCTTATTATACAGTAGTACTCGTTTTAGTGAGCTTTGTCATTTTGGAAACAATTGTGATTCATTTTGCCCACAATGCAGTATTGAAAAACATATGAAAAACGTCTTCTATTGACAGGTCACATTCCCTACATTCATCCATTCCCAATCAGTATCTATTATATTAAGTCATTTGTATTTGCTACTGGAAATGGCATGTAGGCTTTAACTGCAGCCTGAGTGTTTAACCTGATTTTCACCTGAAATGACTGAGATTGTTTTCAGCGCCCGAAGAACTCTGAACGTTCGTAAGGCTGAGACATTGCCCAGGTCCACAAATTCAGTTATGTATCTGTAACAAGGGAAAGTCACACACAGACAATGACAAAACGCCAGCAAAAAACAACAGTCAAGGGGACAAGGAGAGACAGAGAGAGAATCACTTGTAGCTGAGCACCAATATGCAAGGATCAGGGCTTCTTACCTGGGATTACTGTAATAGTTTTAAAAGCTTTCAATACCCTGAAAATCCGAAGAGGTGCAACACTGACTAGTTTCACAAATTCTCCTACATACCTGTAGAATTAAATCACAGTTATTTGGAATTATACAGTAGAGCATGCTATTGGATTGAATGAACAGTGCATTCACTTGTAAGAATGAATGCATCTGAATGAACAGTTCACCCACTTTATAAGGCTGTTCTTATTTGCCATTCTTCCTGAGTATATCATATCGTACAGGATGCTAAATGTTCCCTACATCATAAATCTTACGAATCAGGCATAGCTTTCTTTAAAACTATACGTAGGAGTTGGTTATAACAGTGCTCAGCAGTGCATATTATATACATTATACCATCTTGTTTCCGTTTTAATCCCCCCAGGAATTATTGAAAACTTTTTAAAAAAAAAACAGGAAAATAAATTTCCTATCATAGTTTTAAAAATTAAGTCTACAATATTCCCTGTAATACTGACATAACAGATTAAATCAATCACATATAATACAAGAGAAAATATCAACGTAAATAATTCCAGGGGATTATTTCTCATATATTGCTTTGGTACATTGCACAACTGATGTGAGCTCCGAGAGACGATGATAAAAGTATTTATTTATTGCCTGAAACTGCAGAAGACAGATTTTAAGTGAGGACTATACTTTCAATCCTGTGGTAATGCACTTGTCATAAAAAATACTGGTCCTGACACTCTACAGCCTTGCACATCATGTTGTCACTGATACTCATGCAAAGTGAGGTAAAATGTGAGTGTAAATGCTACTGCTAGGGTAACTAATTGGAGAACTCTGATTTGGGGTTGTTTCACAAGCTATTTCCTCCAACCTAGCGTAGTGGATGCAGCCTGTCCACCATCTCACCTTCTAACCTCTTGGGTTCGAGCATGATTATGGGAAATTATATTTGCATATTTTAGTTCCCGCAGATCCTCTATCCAATGGAATTTGTGTTTCAAGGATGAAGCTGACTGGGTTTTGTGCAGATACCTCTGGAGGGGTTACAGAGCAGTCTCTCCACACCTGCTAATCCAGATTATGACCTGCAATAGTAACATTGGTTCTCTTCTCCGGAGTCTCATGGGAGAGATTGAGCAAACAGATTTGCCTAATCAGTAGCTCCTCCCTTAGCCCACCCTCAATAGTGCTCTATCCCAGCCGAATGAGGGCTAACACCAAAACCCCCTTTTGCAGCAGGAGGGGGTGTGAAAACTTCCTTCTGCAGCTGCTATTCCATCCCCAGTGGTAGAGCCTCCACGTTGGTTTGAATTTCTTTCTAGCTGTATGTAATTCAGCTCCCCAAATGTCCAGAAATTATAAGTGATCAATGGCATGTGGATGTGGTTTTGATCACCGCAGATTTGTAAGAGCATATTAATAATCTGTAGATGGGTATATAACCAAATGATACAAGTGATATTGCATTTTGTTCACAGTACGGCATTTAAAAACTGAAGAGCAAGCCCAGTGAGTGCACAGGACTACACTGTAGTACTGTATATTGTATGCTCCCGTGCGATGTGGAAAACAGACCCTGTGTACATTCTGTAATGCTTACTGTTCTATTGCACTAATAGATGCTGTCTGTATCTATGACCTATACAACTAGTTCCATTATATGCTCAGGAGGGGAGATACTGTAATTTCACAGTAATGACCTATTAACTCTAAAAGAAACTATGGGACTTGTACAATAACATCTGCTAACAAAACAATTTTATCTCCTGATAGCTGTTCAGTTAACTCAGGCCAACGTTATATATATTGGCTGGGCACATCAAAGCTTTACACCCATGAATTTGTCTGGGATGAAAACCTCGCATATTTCAGCACTCTCCATCCCATTACAAATCCTCACACACTATTCACTGCTCATGCTTCCAGGTGCATAGGCAGAACTACCAATAGTATCACACCAACTGTAAGCAAACAAGACTGTAGAGCTACCTGAGATTCAATACAATTCTGGTTTCAATGATTTGTAAATTGCGTTTATGTAAGGTACAAATCATGTCAGAATGGAACCCAATATCCAATGCCTCTCACTGTGTGCTGTTAAATATACCTGGAAAACAAGATTCATAACATTCAGATTATCTTGCAATCAATTTTAACTGTCTCACTGCTACTTGAGTGCCTGAAGAACTGTTTCCTACTGGAGGAGAATACGATTGTTTCTATTTCATTCCAGCCCTACCCAATAACTGAACCCCTCAATTCTGTCAAAAACACATTTGATTAAAATATGCTAATACAGAATGGCTTAGAATAGGCACCAACAGGAGTATAAGCTGATTCTGAAGCATCTGGTTATTGAAATAATTTTGTTTCATCTGTGTTTGTTTTTCACTGCAGACCCTCTATTTTAGGGGGCCTTAAGTGATTAAAAAAATCATTTGGGCAGTAATTTGGCATGCCGCCTAGGAGCAAAATATTATTCTCTTGCCAAAGGCTGTAGTATCTTACTTACAAGCAGACCGGTTTCAAGATAACTCTTTATTATGAGCAGGCACTATATACAGATATGAGGTAATGAAACTTTCTACTACTCTGTGTAGCTGCAGCCAGCATCTTCCCTGTCTTGGGCTTTGTTTCTGCCACAGAAAGAAGTGTCCCAGGAAACCCAAGGACTGCATTTACAGTGCACAGGAAGTATGGCATCTCTACACTTGCTGGAGAACATACTCTGTAGAACAATGGGGTCTTCTGTGCAGGTGCTACGAAGCCACTGGCAGGAGAATTCATACCAGTGCAAGAACTAAAACACACGCACAATATCACAAAGAGGGAAAGTCCTGTAGGCTCTATGGGCTAAATCCTAGTTTCTTTACAAGTGGGTGAAATTCATCCTAGCGCCACCAAAGTGCCAGAGCCACCAAAGGCCTGTGATCTGCGTAAGTCCCAGGTAAACTAAGTGGGGCACAAGTTTTGTGCTGGCCCTCTCTGCACAGGAGTGAATTTCACCCTGTTCGAGTAGTCCTGTGATGCAGCGTGAGAAGAGGATATCACCCCCCGCCCGCTCAGCTGAGACGCGGCCGTGCAGCAGATGCATAGCCACTTTGCAGCCTCAAGGCTAGGTAGCCTCTGCATCATGGCAGGCCCACCGTTCTTACCGTTCTTCTCTCCTGGTCCACTCTTACCCATCCTCAAAGTCCTTTGTCTGCTAGGGTAGAGGGAACTGCTGAATAACACAGCTCCATGATATACCAGAGTTGGAGACTCCCGCATGAGCTCCTGGCCCCACCCACCACCTCCCGGACAATGGAACTACACCACCTTGCTTCTGCTACTTGCTGACATTCCATGCCTGTGAAGGGGATGGCAGAACTGTACCACTCCTCCCGTGCATTGTTCCACTCTACTTTTAAATGCAATAAAGAAGGTTCACACACAGCACCACAGGGGGAACATATTTAACACTAACTGATGCAAAAAGACAACTAACATGGGGTTGCCCCCCAAAAGGGCCTCTTCTTCAGTGCACCATTTTTAAATGCTTATCATAGGCATGCCCAGATGCTGATTTCAGAGTAACTCAGGATTACAGAGTCAGAATCTGGCCGTCTTAATACTAGGTCTGAGCCAAAGACCACTGAAGTCAATGGGAGTATTTTTATAGAAAATAATGGTAATTATTTTACACCTCTAAATATCATTCTTTTGAGCAATATTAATAGAAACTTATGTCCCAAACCTGCCCCCATAAGACTCCTGCAACTAACTTCAATGCCCCATAGCTGTGCCTGGACCAGGGATGGATGGACACATTTTACCAAATTTTGGATCCACTCAAATATGATGATTCAGGAGTTCAGCTCAAATATCAACGTTTGCATTCTGCTGGAAGGAGACTTTAAACAAAGGAGGAGAAAGGAGGCAGAGAGAACAAAAATTCAATGGGGAAAAAAACAGCAGAAAAATGTAGCAGAAAACAGGTTGGGGTGTGGGGAGAGAAAACAAAATACAGAGATACCAAGAGCGGAGAGAGGATGGGGAAGGAGAGAGGAAGAGAGAAAATAATATATTGACAAAATAAACACAGTGTATTCGATATTGCAAAATACAGTTTGGGGCTGATTCCCCAGGGCATCACTCCAGGTTTATGCTGGTATAATTCCACTGAAATCAATGGCTCAGATTCTCCTGTGCACTGAGATCTGCTTGGAGCAGGATGGGGGAGGGTATCAAGGAGCTGATTGGTGGGTTCTGACTTTCTGAGATGATCTGCACGGGCCCCAGTCTCAAGGGTCCACGTTCCAGCAGGGGATCGGTGGAATTCACCGCATTCTGACCACACACACTGCCTACACTCAATCAGGATGGCGAGGTGGGCACAGAGTCAGACATGAGTAACTCTGTGTCAGCTGAGAGCTCCCCCAGACCAGAGATATTCTTGGCTGGACAGATCCATCTGCTCACCAGCTCCTTTGCATTGCCAGAACCCAAAGTAGACTGACTTACAACGTAAAGGGCACTCAAGCATGGAGTGGGAGACAGTGAGAGAACCTTGTTCCCAGTATATGCAACAAGCTTCTGTTTAGCTTCAAAAAAATACAGGGGGGGGTTACCTAAATCCCCATAGGAAAAGTATTGGTTAAGTTACAGGGGGGAAAAGGAGTTTGTCAGCTCAGTCTAGCTTGGTGACCAAAAGGATTGCCTGAGAGTGTTGCAAATCCCAAAGCTTTGCTATGTTCTAACCTCCTCTCAATACCACGTCCATTGTGGGCCAGAGATTCCTGAGCACTTCCCCACTCTACATATGCCAGAGCAGTGCAGGGGCATCTTTCAGGGAAAAACTCATAACTTCTTATTTCCTTTTTAATTGTGTTATTAACTTGCTGGCTTCTGGTGTGTTATTGGGGGTCGGGTGAGATTTCTACAGGATTTTTATTTTATTTTAGGTAACTACTAATTAAAATGTGTTATTTATTGTTAACAATCCCTATTATGCATACTAGTTACTATTTTCTGTGTACAAGAGGGAGACAGTCATAACAAACATCAGAGCTACCTCTGTGGCCTGTGTCAGGGATGGAAGTATTACAAAGCAGAAGGCATTTCAATTTTTATTGCAATGCAGTTATCACTAAACAGATATATTTATGTATTTCATCACTTGCATTCTCATAACACTTTCCATCCAAGAATCTTACAGCACCCTACAAACATGAATTAATTAAGTCTCATAAAACCAGGTATTATTATAACCAATTTACAGATAGATGAACTGAGGCACAGAGAGGTTAAACAACTTGCTCAAGATCACCCAGCAAGTTGCCAAAATCTGTACTGGAACCTAGGAAAAAGTTCCCTTCTCTAGAACCTCTCAGGAACAATTCCATAGAGATTTGTTGTAGCTGAAGTATTGTGCTAGTACACTGGTGAACAACAGTTACTAAAAAGAACAGGTGAAAAGTAGTTACACTGCATGTCACACTCTTGAAAAAGAACAATGGAATGCTACTTACGCCATAACAATGACACTGAAATCCAGCCAATTCCATGGATCTCGAAGGAAGGTGAATTCTGTCATACAAAATCCTCTTGCCAGTATTTTTATCAATGATTCAAAAGTGTAAATGCCAGTGAAAGTGTACCTGGGGAGTAAAGTGTCCAAGAAAATCAAGAGCATTAGCAGTTAATGGAGAAGAAGTTGAGGCACACTCAGCTTATTCACTCTGGGCCCAATCCTACTCAGATGAGAAATTCCTACTCATTACAATAGGATTACTCATATGAGTAATGGCTGTGGCATCAGGCCCTTCGTGAGCTGCTTCATGTGTGGACCCGGTGAACATATGAGAAATGGGGAAGCACATTGACAGCCTTAAAATGAATGCAGGCTTCATTGCAGCGTATCTTGATGAATTTGCAGTCACTGAGTGAGGCATGAAAACTATCTAGAAACATTACTTTACTGGACTCTGAAGCACGCCAGCAATAGTCAATGGAAAAGGAATGGATTATGTAGCATTCCTTGTTATAGCTCATATTTAAGTGAAAGATTCTGTTCATACCTCTCATCTCTTTCTATCCAGATCATATCAGTGTTCAATAGATGAAATAATGGTTAAGCTTCACCTAATGCAGGGATCGGCAACCTTTCAGAAGTGGAGTGCCGAGTCTTCATTTATTCACTCTAATTTAAAGTTTTGCGTGCCAGTAATACATTTTAACATTTTTAGAAAGTCTCTTTTTGTAAGTCTATAATATATAACTAAACTACTGTTGTATGTAAAGTAAATAATGTTTTTAAAATGTTTAAGAAGCTTCATTTAAAATTAAATTAAAATGCAGAGCCCCCTGGACCAGTGAACAGGACCCGGGCAGTGTGAGTGCCGCTGAAAATCAGCTCGCATGCCGCCTTTGGCACGCGTGCCGTAGGTTGCCTACCCCTGACCTAATGCATTACAAAGACACATTCCCAACTGCAAAGTTCCTGATGTTTCACTGTCTGGTAAATAACACCAGTCACGAGCATTAAATAGCAGTATAATGCCCTAACTGAAAATATGCATTATATGTAATGATTTGGACCTGCTGGAATTTAAAAAGGGGGCAGAAGTGTGTTTTTATTTAATACAGTAAGTTGTGTACTACCAACAGCTTCTTCACTGTGAATGACAAAATGGATAGACGTATTCCATGAGTTTTCCTTTGCAATAAATATAGTTGGACCAAAACTGAGCACATTCTGCATGGACAGTAGCCAGGGACCGGAGCTACAGGATTCAGAGCTGGATCCTATTTCACCCAGTAGAGTTCCTGGGTGAAATCCTGGCCTCATAGGCTTCAATGGAGCCAGGGTTTCACCCTATGATTAGTCAGGTCTGGGGATTTCCCCTCAGGACGATTTCTAATAAAGGACTGAAATTATATAGCTCTAGTACTTCAGAAAGAAATGGATTTTTAATAACATCAGTAGAAAAACTTAGATTGTAAGCTCTTTAGGGCAGAGGCCATCTCTTTGTTATGTGTTTATGCAGTGCCTCAACACAGTGGGATCCTGGCTTGCCTGTAGCTTTTCCCTTCCCTCTTGATCTGTTGGATTGTTTTGCCCACCTGGTTGTCAGGACTGTGCTTTACATGACCAAACCATCTCAGACTGGACTGCCTCATTTTTTCCACTGGTGAGTGTTAGAGAGATGCCCAAAGTTAACACACACACCCCTCAGATAATCATAAATAGTAATCTTTAAAAACACATCACCAACAACCCTCTCTACCACCTGCCCCCATTGGCCTCTTATTTTTATTTTTAACTCCTCTGATGAAGTGAAGATGCATTTGATAACCAGGCAGAATTCTCATTCTGATTTTTGTAGGTGTGCCCCCATTTAAAAAAAATGGGACACACACGAAAAAGCCTCACAACTTATATGCTACCACATGGGTCTCTTCACTGGAAATAGCAATTTGTGTATAATTTTCATTCCCCAGATTGCTGATTCTCTGTCTGGTCTAGTCTGTGTGTACTAAATACATGCATAGTCCATTAATGCCAGCTCACATGTGGGCACATAGCACCTGATCCACTGAAGTCAGGAGTCATGACTTGACTAATGGGTGTTAGCTCAGGCCCTCATGGTGAAATCCTGGTTCCATTAAAGTCAATGGGAGCTTTGCCAGTGACTTCAGTAGAGCCAAGATTTTACCCCGGTGCTCATAATCTAAAGAATGGAAACATCATCATATAAAATTGCATGAACACACAAATACCACAGTTTGGTTTGGTGTTTTGCAAGAATAGGTGGTGTAGCAAATAAGGGCCAGATTGTGCCCAGCTGTTTCATGAGTGCACTAAGAGGGAGGCAGGATGCAAAGTCTTCTTGTACTAGTGCCCTTAGTTCTACAGCTGGGCACAATTAAAGCCCCTCTCAGGGCCCCTGGAGGTGCTAGCCACTGAAGAGTCAATGGCCCTGTTCTCCCTCCACACCAGCCAGCAGAGCTCAGTTGGACATTACATGAGTGTTTGAGACACCCTATAACATACGTGCTGGAACTACAGGTGCTACCGCACCCCCGGGTTTGAAGTGGTTTCCATTTTGATTCAATGGCTCTCGGTCTATACAAATTGCTCCAGCACCTCTCCCCTCTAATGATGTGAGCTAGCAGGCCCACTGTTTCTGCGAGCCTCCCTGCAGTTTTGGGAAAGGAATTCTCTCAGAGCTCCAACTGGGGCAGTGTGTCTTTTACTGAGATCTTCATGGCTTCTAGCTTTGGTGCTGCTTCGGGTATCCAAAATACAGGCCAAGCAATTGACAGGGGCTCTTTAAGCATATGTTTTCATTAATAAATGTGAAAACATATACAAAGAATTAAAAAATAACTTCGCTGTGCATACACTCGTTAAAATGATAAAGACCTTTCCTTTGTTCAACATGTCAGCTGGTTTATTTGATTTCACAGTCATCGTCTAATTCTGAATGGACGTGGAGGAGGTCCTTCAGCAATGCAAGAGTTTCTATAACAACAGAAGCCACTCTGTTAACTGATCTTTTGGGGCCACGTTAAATCCATTTATTTTTTTCAAAATGTAAGTGTTTATTCCACTTATTTTTAAGTGGTGCTTTATAACATATGTACAGAGCACCACTCTCTTGGTAATTGGGGGTTCTGCATCCTCACTGAGGCAACAAGGCAAAACAGATTGATTTTAGCTTCTCAAAGTGTATTATTGGTCTAATTTTACAAATAATTCTTAAATTAAAGTTCATCAGGTCATTCTTGTCTTCAAAATTAGCTACCTTTGAGTTTGTGCTTTGAATTTGAGGAGGAAAGACTGAGAGGTATTTTTTTTATGAAAAGGAAAGAGAAGGATTCATTCCATGCTGCATAATCAATGAATGCTTCTGTTCTGGACTATGATTTGTTGCACAGCTTATTTGGTGCACTGAAGACATTATTTGCATTTTACTCACTGAAGGAAGTGTCTAGCACTCTATTTTTTCCCTCTAGAACATTCAAATTCCAAAGTACAGACCTGTAGACTGACTCATGCATCCACGTGATGTCAATATTTCAAATACATGATGGGTACTGTACTTTGTAACAATTTCCAATAGGAAAAAGACAACATTGTGGGAAGGGGTGTGGAAGAAAGCCACAGACATAGCTGTAAGGTAGTATACTCATACTGAAATACATGATGCATACTGATATTAGGATGTTATGATGATCAGATCAGCTGTTAGGTTCAGAGCTGGCTTAAAGTTAGTAATTTCGGGAAGCAATTCTTTTTCTAGAAGATGTGCCTTGCATGATCTTGGGAAGCCTAAAGAAGAGAAGGGCACTTTGCTGTGTCTCCCTAAGGCCCTGACTAGGCCAGCCACCAGGCTAGAGAACAGCAGATGGCTGTGTTTATCATATGTCAGACAAAAATAAAAAGTCTGTTCTGATTGGTTCAATGAGCCAAAGTAATTGTTTAATGTACTATATGTTGATTAGCTTGTGCATCTGGTATCTATTTCCATAAGGAACATTTTGAAACAACTTACGGAAATGCAAACTTACCAGACTTAACTTTAAAGCTAGCTTTTAAAAAAAAAAACAGAACAGGAAACTGTCAGTTAAAGCTCTGAGGGTTTTCTGAGAGCTCTGACCATCTGAGAAATTCAGACAACCCCACAGAGAATTCCAAAGGTTTGGTGGTTTCTCATAAAATATATCTAGAAATTATTTGTATGTACCATAACTCTTTTCATTATGGCCTTGGTCCAAAGCCCACTGACATTAGTAGAAGACTGCATAGATGTCAACGGGCTTTGGATTATGCCTTTAGGTTTGAACCAAGTATGTTCTGTAAGTATTTTCTGAAATCATTCAATTAGAAGTCCAGTAATATATTCTACTGTATCCAGCTTCTGAATCCCTTACATGGAAACTCAGGAAGGCAGGCCAATTTCAAATGGAGCTCGAATCATACCATGATTCCATTCAGATGTAGCATAGCAGGTGCATTTAGCAAAAAGTATGAGTTTGGTAGACTGAAAATTGTTAACTTACTTTCTAAGGGAGTTTTCAGAGGCGAGAAATACCTGGCAAAACATTTTGTCAGGACAAATATTGCACAGAAGTCAATATTAATGGAAAAAATTAGATAACAGCAAACAAAATGAGAAGACTACAATGAAAGAGTATAGAAGAGCTAAAGGTAAGGTATATACCGATCTGCAGAGATACTTACTCAACATATTTATTCCATGATTGAACCTCCGATTGTGCCATGAACACACAGTTGGTTAAAATAGTGCACATAATAAACATACTGAACAATGTAAATATATGAGTTAAGGAAAAACGTGACTGTGTAAAAAGACCTCAGAAAAGGTCCCTAATTTTTTCAAGCACTGCACATTTGATCTGATGACTCATTCATATTTTGTAGCATGCGTAAACATCAACACATAGAAGTTGTGTGCAATTATATATGAAGGAATACCTGGACACCTAATCAAAGTAAAATCTTTGGGCTCTATCCTGCTTTATTTCATTACCTACATCTTTTATGCATATTTTGTACAGTAAAATGGATGCAGCGATTGTGCAGCATTCAGTGAATACAACATCCAAAACATATAATCATGTGAAGGTTTGGAGTTTGTGACAGTGTGCTTAGGTGTGAACCTCAGTATGAGAGGAGCTTTTATGCATTTTAAACTATAAAAGGGAAACCACTCGTCTGCTAATTCTGCCTCAGTACTTTATGCTGTACCCTGAAACAAAGAAGAAACTATCAGTAGACAATAATATACAGGGAGAGATTGTGTAGGAAAACTGCCTGAAAATCATGTATTCATCTTCAGGCTCTTGATGCCCTCCCTCAAACCTGCCGCCTTCCCGCTGTATTAGTATTGAGTCATCTGAACATGCTTGGCAATGGGGCAAGCTCTAGATCACGTCTTTTCATTCACTCCAATGGGCTTTGAGTCATGCCCTGGGTGTGGAAGAGTACTAAAGGCTAGTAGCTGCATGGCAGTACTGTAATTTTGCACATGTACAGGCCCAATTTACAAACATTGTTGCCTCAGTTAGGGCACCAAATAGTCTATTAGGAAATGAAGAGCAACATTCAGCCTCAAATATGCATTCTACTCACCTAGATGCAGATTTGAGACCCCAAATATGGAACTAGACATCCTAAACTGAGTTCCCAAGTTTGAAAATTGTGTTTCCTAAATCACTTTCTTTAAAACAAAAGCTGCATGCTGTGAAAAGTACTAAGTGTAATGGGATTCTCATTTGTTCATAAAGGTTCACATTTTACTGATATTATCTATACGTGGGAAGCACAGAAGGCATAGGAAAATGATCTGGCATTTTGTTGATATCCTGGGATACACATAAGAGAAAAAAGAGAATCGGAATGAGATTTCCTTTGTTAATTGAGAAAAGACACACACATTTTCACCTCCCTCTTATCATAGTTCTGTGATCATTTTATGTTATAGAATAGCAATCTCACATGAGTTTTGAGGGTATGTCTGAAATGTTTGTATCTAAGCTACATGAAAATCAAGCTTTTGTGGAACTACAATCTCTGCTGAATACAGAATGGAATGTTTTCTGATCGACTGCATACGCAATAGCAAGATCAAATAGGTAGTAACCGCTCCATGTATTCCCATGTGCAAACTTAGAAACCAGTAATTGAACTCAAAGGGAATACTCATCCAAACACATTTTCCACTGCAGGGGCCTATGGCTCTTGATGAGCGACTGAAAGAGGGTATCTGGGAGCCAGCCTCATTTTCTTAATTCAGGCTTAGATTGGAGTGTAACGGTTGTGTCTATCTATCAAGTAACTTGATTAGGTTATTAAATATTTTCAGGTACAAAAAGACTGAGCTTCACCTAGAAAATTGTGGATTACTTTTCAACTATAGTGAAAATTCTATGGAAAAAAAATGGAGAGCAAGCGATTTTCAGGCTTTTTCAAACAAGCAAAATCTTCAGTTTAAGCCTAAACAAGGAAAGATTTGCAATCACTCTGTTTTGGCCCCAAAATATATCATATATCCCTGTAGCCTTATATAGCCATGTAGCCATATTGAGTAAGAAACTGAATCAAGCAACATTCCCGCGATGCCTTTATTAGAGGTAAGGGGCGCTAATCTTCTTGGTTTGAGACTAGCTGGAGCTGTCAAGAGGGCATTAAATTAACACCACAGGGGAAGGTGCTAAGGCGGCAGCTCTGGTACAAACTAAATCTCAGTATGTCGCAAACAAATTGAACCAATGTGATGATGAACGTGAAAAGACGACATTTTTCAGTTGTTTATGTACTACTACTAGGAGTGAGTAAAAAGCAAGAGGAGCTCTATAATTGGCATTATGGAAACCTGCTGAGATGATTGGCATGTTAAAATCACTGGTTATAAGCTGTTCAAGAAGGATACAATGGGTAAAAACTGAGGGTGAGGGGTTGCCACTATATATTAAAGCCACCATTCCCTGTTTTAGAGTTACAGATTGCTCATAAGAGTAGGGTCTTGAATGCATCTTCATCAATGTGCTTACTGAGAAAGCCCAGAAAGGATACTGGTGAAGGTCTGTTACAGAAACGGGCTCATTAAGGCATAACAAGAACCAACGCTTAAGCCAGACCAATTCAAAGTAGAAATTAGGCACATATTTTTAACAGTGAGGATGGTAAACCATTGGAACAAACTACCAAGAAATGTAATGGATTCTTCATCTCGTAATGTCTTCAAAATGAAGATTGGATGCTTTTCTAGAAAATATGCTTTAGTCAAACACAAGTTATCGGATTCAATACAGGGTAACTGGGGGAAATGTGATGGCCTGGGATATACAGGTCAGACTAGATGATTTAATGGTCTCTTCTGGCCTTAAACATTATGATGTATGAAAAGATGGGGCTGGTAGCATTGCCTCTTATTAAGGTTGCCATTGTAAAAGCCTGTTTGCAGTTGCTTACAACTGTGCCAAATTTTAACCATCTGAGCTGAAGTGTTTCATGGTATCTGCCTTTTTCCATCCCAGTGAAAATCTGCCCAAATTTGACCAAGTTATAAGCCTTTGGGAAAAAAAAATCACACTTCACACATGCTTAGTACAGACTTGGATATTAGCAGCTAAAATCTCCACGGATTCTGTCCCCAGTGAGCCTGCTCAGTCCTCTCATTAACCCATGTGCCAACCAGACAGTGCATTCAGAGTCCCCACAGAGTGACTTAGCATGCTCCATCCCCTCACAGCTCCTACATGTAACCAGACTGTACATGCACTACCCCCAAAGAATGATGGAACATATACCATCCCAGGGCCAGAGGGGCAAAACTGGACTTTCCCTGTAAGTGCTGCTTCTGGATGTTCCAGGCCAAGGTGGGGCTGGGCACCAGAATTTAGAGCAGGGAGACTCTTTCTCCTGTGCTGTTATTGATCACGTTACTGGCACCCCATCAGTGTGGAGCAGAAAGCCACCTGACTCAAATGCAGAAGGGAAAAGCCCCAAAAGCCCAAAATACCAAAACTAATACTGCTTCTGCCCCTCTCAGACTCTACTGAAGTCCTCTACTTCTTGGCCCCTTCTCCTGACCCCTGCAGAGTTTCTCTTATCTTGCTCCCCGCCCCCCCTTGATTCCCTCACTGCCTCCCTTTCCCAGGGACTCTGGCAACTTCTTGAAAATTGCTGAGGGTCTCAGTGGGCCACTTAATGATCTTTCCAAATATTGTTTGTACTGTTAGCTAACTATTGTAAAGCACTTTGGATAAAAGCGCTATATATAAAAAAAAACTTAACTCAATAATAATTTATCAGCGTGGCTCCAGTAATTAGGTGGGTGGCCCTTCATTCTCTTGTGCGCGGTCGCCCAGGTGTGCACCTTAGAGGGAACTATCCACAGACCACCTGAACAGACCACAGTTTGAGAACCTCTGCCTTAGGGATCTCCCTGCTGCTGGTAGACCCTATCCCACAGTTCCCCCATAGGAGCCTAAACTAATCTCTGTGGGTCTTTTTACAGACCCTTTCTCAGGGCCTTCCACCGCAGCTTGCCTGCTCTCTGCTCCCTCCCCCAGATGGTGTTCCCAGCTCTATTTAAGCAGTCCTTTCTGATTCTCCACTGCTGGGGTCAATTATTTAAATTAACTCACCCTACCACACTCAGGTGTGATTACTAATTATCTCTGAGTTGCTAGGTCATAGGCAAGGCTGAGCCCAGCTTGCATTTAGAGCCAGCCAGCCCGTGACATACATCCCCCACCCCCTTCTAAAACCTTGCTCTGTCCCGGAGACCACCCCATATTTTTTCCAGCTCTCCCTTCAGGTGGTCAATTTCCATGAGCAATTGCTCCTTTTCTTTCACAGCTTGCTGTCTGGCTTCTTCTGCAGCATCCAGGTCCCCTCAATGTGTCTCAGTCAGGAAAAGCAGGTTTCTAACATCCTCTCCATTCAGTGTTGCATTACAGCCCTTCTCACAGACCTTGTTTTTTTCCCCGTCTCTAGAAAAGCCTCCACCACTGACTTCTGGTCCCTTAGGGCTGCCTGTAGAGTTTGCCTCAGGTCACCAGGTTTCCCTTGCAGACTCACCACTTTCAACTCCTGGTCCCCATGGGTAGCCATAGTCACCAGCATATCCTCTGGTTGTCAAGGGGTAACTAGTCAGCTGTATCAGGCACTTCCTAATCATGGCATCCATCTTCACAGTAATCTCTGTGTTTATGCCCACCTCGATATGGCTTGTGTCAACCTCTGTAATTCTCCCACCCTAATCTCTCTTGCCTTTTCCGTGTGGCTCTCTTGAATAGCTGTACACTTCTTTGTCATCAGTGCCACCCCTGGTTCACTTGCCTCCTGGGTATTCAGGCCGTCATATGCATTCGTATCATTCTACACTCCTTTCTTCCATTGCTTACTCAGGTTCCTGCATCTCTTCCTGCAGTAAGCACATTTCCTCTGAGGACAATGCCTTTAGATATGGCCCACTTCTCTACAACCAAAACAGATAACACTTGTCCATGTCCTGGCCTGTGGCCTGAGTTTTTCTGGCTTTCCTCACAGTTCACCCTGGCAAATCATTGTTTTCCCCCAAACTTACACAGAAGTCTTTCTTAGATGGCCCATACAAAAACCACCATAACATCTCCTCAGACTTACTGGACACAGGGTATTGCAACATTAATTTTCGCCTTTAAAGTTACTTCTTTAATCTATGATAACTAAAGGTGATGTACATGAGAACATCCATTAAGAATTTCCTTTTTCCAATACCACACAAGGGAATGGAGCTACTATGGACATTATCAAAGACA